GAAAGTGAGAAAATTCCTGTCTAATGTTTTCCACAAGTACTCGGACACAATTCTGGGCTGCTGATGCTAGTTTAAACGCATAGCCATTCAGTTACGGGGCTGATAACCTAACAATTACACTACCAACCCAGTCACGGCACAGAAAATGGCAATATCTGCAAAGTTAAACGTATGGCCATACTCTTGTAAGGTAACCCTAAATGCTGTTAATGTCATTTATTTCGGGCTAGTGTAGTTCAAGTCGGTCACAAAGTCCCTTAAATAAAAATATTGGAAGAGTGTTGCTAGTTAGTAAAATTGGCCAGTCTTGTCTAGTCTTGATTAAGATTGACTGTCAAGTCATCAAGAACAATTGGTGGAGACCTAAGTAACTTTGAAGATCTACACAAGACAAACGTTCTAAAAAAGGCAAAAATACTGCTAAGTGACCATAGCCACCCACTGACATCGGAATGTCAATTATCGACCCGCAGTAAACGATACATTTCCAAAAAAGCAAGAACAGACAGATATAGAAATTTATTCGTACCAACTGAGTCAGCGAGGTGACTGAACACACGGTGCTACAAATGAAACAGAGAGAGAAAGAGAGAGGGAGAGAGAGAGAGAGAGAGAGAGAGAGGGAGAGAGAGAGAGAGAGAGAGAGAGCAGGTTGTTCCAGCACGTGAGACACGTGTTTACTCATTAATGTCCTGTCTTGTTGTGCGCATGCATGAGTGCATCTAACCTTTGTAACGTCTTCAGCCATGGTTAACGACCAAGACAAATTTCTCCTTGCAAGGTGAATAAAGAATGTCATTGCCATCATTGTCTTTGTCATATAAATATATGTAATATGTATATATATATATATATATGTGTGTGTGTGTGTGTGTGTGTGTGTGTGTGTGTGTGTGTGTGTGTGTGTATGTGTGTGTGTGTGAAAGTTCATCATTTTTGTCACCTAAAACTTCTGAACATATTCCGAATTTTAAAAACATTTAAAAGGTGCACAGTTGTATTAAGGAGTCTAAAGTCACCAAGGTTTAATTTTCCGTTAAATAATTAGTTTTGTTTAGATCTTATCTTAGGGAAAGGTCGTCTTCTAAGATGCCACAGTAAACAAGTGAGACTTCTGTTCACAAGCAGCTCGCACTGGTTCCACAATGACGTCAGAATTGATTATTTTGAGTCGGTTCATCGAATGAGTACCCAGCTATTGAGTGTGGTGAAACATATCCTCAAATATCTCTTTAACGGTTGAATCAATGTCACCAATACTTTGCACATCAATTTGTATCAATTTGTCTTAACTAAAACACATTTTTCCACAACAACTGAGGCGAGATTTAAAAACGTTTCTTCTTTTAATATATATAAAATACTATAAATCTCTATTACGCGGAAAATGGGATTGTTCACAGTACTTCCCGCTTCTCGCACACATTTTGCATACGCATATGGCCTACGTCACAGCTCGCAAATGACACTTTTTAGTGACAAAACTACTCACAAGAAAGTTATTTTATTGTGAACACATATTTTGCACGAAAGGTCCCCTAAACATACGTTCAATAAGCATAATTTTGCGATTAGAAAAAAATGACATACTAGCTTTTAAAAACGATATTGCCTGAGCTGTAAACCTGTAAAAATCTGTAGAAACCATTGACTGTGATTTTTTAAAAGTATATTCTATTAAGGAATTTTCTAGAATACAGTGTGCAGGAGTTGGCAAAAATATTCATCTGCTAAGACAAATTGACACAAGTTATTTTGCAAAAGCTGGAGAATCTTTGTTTGATAGTTAAGGAGATATTTGACAATAAGTTGCGCCATGCATTTTTCACTGCACTTTAGTGTACTTACATTCTTCGTATAAAATTAAAATAACCACCGTGGTGTCAACAAGTGAGAAAGAGACTAAGTGAAGCGGAGGTAAAAATAAACTTTATTTATATAAGTAAAGAGGTTCGGGTTTAATTTTTGTTGTTTTTTTTTTCTTTCTTTTTTTTCTTTTTTTTTTTTTCGATTTTTATTCCCCTTGCTTTTTTGGATTTTGTATTCAACGGTGGTTTAAAAAAAATATATAAATATCGCGGCCGTGATTCGCGGAGCATACAAATCCGAAAAATCGTGGCCGTGATTTGCGGGTAGCAGCCGCAGCAAATGCAGATGCTAGATAGGTAATAATATGTTTTATTTCATATCTCTTGTTTTCTCCACACCTTATTCACTAAAATACATCACTGAAATTTTGCCATTCTGACAGGGGCATACTGTACTCCCCAAGTGGTGGAGGCAAGCATTCATCATGCTAAATCTGCAAAACATATGATTGTTTTATATGGAGGTAAATAAGAGTATCATTCAACTATTGTCTCTGTGTGAGGTTAATCGACAAGAAGAACACATAATATTATTACAGCATGGGTTTTGGGACTGCGATGATACTATCGCGAAGACTGTCCACTGAGATCTCTATACCAACATATTCATTTCACGACAATTTAAACTAAATCTAAAGGTAAAAAAAGACAATTAAAAAATAATAACTTTTGTATCGCTTCTCAGAACGCGTTGAAAGGACAGGGTTCAATACAGACGAAATTAAAATTTAATTTGAAAACTGCTACAATAATTTTGCTTCTTTGCTGAATGATTGTTTTATATTACATTTACGTACATTAAATATATATGTTTTAATATTATGCACGAACATTTCATTTGAAATACAATATTGACACTGTTTATTAAAAGAACAGTTAAATGATTCTATATAGTGTTGTTTTCGTGAGTCTTGGTGTCTTTTGATGTCTTTTTGATGTGCTTTGGTGTGTGGGGGGGGGGAGGGGTTGTTGTTGTTTTTTTTTGGGGGGTGAGTTTCGGTGAGTTTCCTTAGTTTCGTGAGTTTCGGTGAGTTTCGGGAAAAGAGCTACCTGATTTTATTTTCGAAATCAGCGCATCAAAATAAGTAAAGAGGCTCACGTTAAACATCATATTTAAACTGAAATAAACATACTTCTATTTAAAAAACATTTTTTTAAATTGTCAAATGAAAACTTGAAGTCACAATATGTCAAGGATACCCAGTGTCTAACATATGAGAAGCTGCAGTCAAATCTTTCATACAATGCACTTCACAGTCACTGCTCAGAATGGTGACTTGGTCGGAAGACAATGTTCCTGTCTGTATTGTGATGCACAGATCCCTCAAATGTCTATGAAAGATTAATTCAAAAGACTGCAGTAATAAAATATGAGGATTAACAAAGAACTTGTGTTATTACGCGAACAGTTTAATCAAGGTGTTACTAAAACATCGTATAAGTGATAAAAACAACAGAGTGAATGAATATACGAGCACTTTAAAAGCCAGCCATACGTTCAGAAAAGCCTATTTTTCTTCATTTTTTTTGTTAATAAAGGTTGGTTCAATAGTAGACGTGTTATAGATGAAGTCAATATCTTAGTCGCAATATGACAACTTCCATTTCTTTCCCTGCCAATTCACCCTGGGGTCATTTAACGCCTACCCCGCACTTAAAGGGTCTTTTCAGTTTGCCATGACCGTAAACATTTAAGAGGCCAGGCAGGGGCTATCAAAGGGACTATTACTTGAGACATTCACCGTAAATAATATGTCACACTGAGCACATATATGACAAAAGAATGCCACTAAAAATCAATTAAAAATCACGATTGCCGTAGGGGTGCCATCAAGCATAGTAAATACGCACCCTCCCCCCCCCCCCCCCAACAAAAAAACAACAACAAAAAAACAACAACAAAAAAACAAAAAACAAAAACAAAACAAAACAAAAAACCAAAAGAGATAAATAAATAAATAACCTGTTGTTTCAGCTGATAATCCACACATTTTAGACACCTACATTACGTCTCTAAAATTTTGTTTCGTCATGCTCTGCTGGGTCTGGGCTGATTGCTCCTTCAGCAATTTATGTAAGGATCGCATCGTGTCCGTGTTTTCGTTCTGCAGCAGTTACCTTATGGAAAACATACTGACCATGGCCGAGCAGTGGCAACCAGTTCTCTTGGTCGTCTCAGGTCTGAGTTACTAAATACCAAGGAAAGCAGAAAAGAGTTGGGGTGGAAGGCCAGCGGAGGGGGGGGGGGCTGACCTATCACACACACATTCTCTCTCTCACACACTCTCTCTCTCTCTCTCTCTCTCTCTCTCTCTCTTTCTATCTCTCTCTCTCTCTCTCTCTCTCTCACACACACACACACACACACACTCTCTCTCTCTCTCTCTCTCTCTCTCTCTCTCTCTCTCTCTCTCTCTCTCTCTCTCTCTCTCTCTCTCTCTCTCTCTCTCTGAAGCACGCTTTGTTGTACCTTCGTCAAATGAAAAAGGTTCATGTATGTTAGAAATGAAAGGAGAAAAGAAAGAGCAGGGGAAGGTGGGACGAAAAAGGTGGGGTGGGTTCGGGGGCAGATAGAGAGTGGCTGGAGGTCAGAGATGAATAGAAATAGGGAAAGAGAGCGTGAGACGGAGAGATAGTGGGTAATGGAAAAGGAGAAAGAGAGAGAGAGAGTGTGTGGAGAGAGAGAGAGAGAAAGAGAGAGAGAGAGAGAGAAAGAGAGAGAGAGAGAGACAATCTGACAGACAGACAGACAGACAGACAGGCAGACAGACAGACAGGCAGACAGACAGACAGACAGACAGACAGAGGGAGAGAGAGATAGGTGGGGAAGGAGACGGCAGAATTAAAAGTCTTCAGCTCAGTGCAATCAGTTGAGTCCATATTTTAGTTGTTTAGGCAGCAAGACCTATGAGCTAGCCCTTCTAAGGACTGTTCGAGAAGTTAAAAGCCAAAACTACAAATACTCACAGTAAATAAAAGTTGAGAAGTAAACTCATCTTCACTGTGCGGTAACTGGGAAATTTGCCAATTCGGGACGCCATACTTCAGCCAGGAGGCCCTGCATAATTTTCGAACAATAGGATACCACTCGCTCTTCTTATCGACCGGGAGAGGGGAAGCGAGAAAGAGAGAGAGAGAGAGAGAGAGAGAGAGAGAGAGAGAGAGAGAGAGAGAGAATGTGTGTGTGTGTGTTTTCGTGCCATGGTTTTGTCCTCACGTGACACAAGTCGTCAGGTTTTTCAACTCGTCTTGAGATCGGTTAGTAACGTTTTGGAAGTATCCCAGGAACTGGTGCCAATATTGCTATGGACTTTTTCCGGTAGTGTTCGGCTTGACACTGCTCAAATGACGCAGTGCACTTGATCAGAGAAGCGAACAATGGAGACACTGATGATTTGTAAGCTCGGAGTGAAAACGAAAGGCTTTTACGTGAGTCTCTTCTATTACCATAATCAGCACTGTCAGTACATGTATCAAGTTTTATTATGATTATTAGTATTATTATTATTATTTTCATTATTTTCATTATTATTATTATTATTTATAATAATAATAATAATAATAATAATAATAATAATAATTATTATTATTATTATTATTATTATTATTATTATTATTATTATTTTCAATATTATTATTATTATCACTGTTATTAATATTATTATTATTATTATTAATATTAATATTATTATCATTATTATTATTGTATTATTATTATTTCTAGTAGTAGTAGTTGCATTACTTTCATTATAATAATAATTATCATTATTGTTGTTGTTTTTGTTGTTGTTGTTGGTGGTGGTGGTGGTGTTGTTGTTTTTACCATTATTTAATGCTAACATCATCATCATTATTATTATTACTATTACTAACATCATCATAATGATCTATTTTTCGTCCTGGTCGTCTTGCTCTTGTCTTGTTTGCTCTTAACATGATTCTTATACTGTATTCGTAATGGTTTGATCCTTATTGTGATAGTGGTGCAGCTAATGAAAACTAATCAAGATTTAATTCAAAGGAAGTTTTGCGACGTATCAGTCAAGCAAAATAACAGTACCACTGTTACGAACAGATGAATGATATAGGCACCCATGCCCATCTTACTCGCTGTCTAACAAATCTACTGTATTGACAGGAGATAATTGAATCGCTATTCTTTACAGCCCAATCAAGGTTACCCGCAAATTCATCATACAAATGCCAATCAAATGCAAATTACGGGTCATTTTACCTCCTGATTAATTAACAAGATCGTATAATATGTTAGATTACGTCAGTCACATTTACTACGAGGTAAACATTAAGGCAAGTAAACTGAAAGATAATGTTTGCTTTGCAGAAGCGACATGATTTCATTTTAACCCATTAATGCAGGGCCTCTCCAAATATGTAACATTTAGGACACAACATACTTTTGGGCACCGAGAAAAGTTGATCCATTAACGGAACGCCATGCACGAAAGGCGGCGTGTTTTTTGTGCTTTGCCATGAAAACAACACGCTTTCAACAAGTTAAAATTACTACATAAACTAAAAGTAATGTGGTGAAAAATGCAGTTTATTGTACTTAGACACAATATCAAAGCAGACAGTTTGTATTTGTTGCAAAGATATAACTTTTACAGTAAAAATGTGGGTTTTAAAACAAGTACTACCCCAACAGAAATGTTTTTTCTTCAAATGCTCAGCGTTATTGGTATGATGTGTCTTTCATCTTGTTTTATTTAATTTCAAAGCTTCGTTAGGCTTTTTCTTCTTCTGTCGATGCTGTTTATAGCAGTTTTAATTTGTCAGTTTATTTATATTTTTAAGTGTGTCTGTTTCTAAGATTTTTCCTCTTCCTTTGTGGCCTGCTGTTCTGTATTTGTGTTGCTGCTCTACAAACCAAAGTGCTCTTCTCATATATTGTAAATAATACCCCCAAATACCGCCAGACGTTGATCGTAATCGTTGTTGCCCAGCTCTGCCTGTAGTGCTCGAATGATGGCAACATCACGGTTCGGCCTGTTTTTTTTGGTGGTTTTTTTTTTTGGGGGGGGGGGGCTTTCAAGGAAGAATGTGATTCTAGGCCTTCTGGCTTGTGACGCCCCTCCATCTCCCTCAACAATCTGGATCTCCACAACACTGTGGACTTGATCCTAGATTTGATTCCGATGTCTTATCTATAAAAGAAAACATTTGTATAGCGCATATCCCCGCTCAAACATCAAGCTCTATGCGCTTCACAAACTATGGGAACAGAACACTGCTGCTGAGAGCCTGTTCTGGTGGCACAACCCACCTTTGCCCCTGCTTGTATGTGCAGGCTCCATACTCTGTTCTCAACTCAGTATCCTTTGCAAATTCGGATCCTTTAACTGGTGGGCTCCCATGAATTCATCATCCCCCCCTCCCCCTTCTTTTTTTCTGTGAGACCCAGGAACATGTTCCTTCATGGTTCTCTGTAGCTTGGTTATAATGGACAAGAGTTGCCAGCCAAATTGTTATGTCGTAGAAAGCATCACCCCAACATTCATACCATTTACTGCAAACTGAATTGTGAAGGTATATGGGACACGCTGATCGTTACAAGAGAAATTATCAAACACACTGCCTTCACCTGTGCTGTCTTCATTGGATATTATGTTACAATTGGTGGCTCGACGTATATATTTACAACCTCAGAATCATCTGCATCATCGTGAAGCATGTTCAAGACCTCGAGGACCAATAGTTAATGGTAGGAAATAAAAAACAACAACCCAAAACACCCCCCCCCCCCTCAAATAAATCTGATGACATATTTGCGAAATTATAAAGTTTTAACGCCCCTATCTACTCTTCAAGGTAATTAAAGAGGCTGGACCTCCGAATTCAACGGCCAAGAAAAATGTTCAGCAAACCTTAACCACACGTGAATTCAATTTCTTAAGCTCACGTATGGTCAGGCTACAGAAAATCAATAAGTGTAAAACGATGTATATGTCTCCGTTACATTTTAGCAGATAAAACAACAAATATCATACAAAAAAATAGCTTTACATGTAACGGTAGTAAGATTCAAAGATCAAAATTAACCCCGGGAAAAAGCCGGCACCCTCTTGTGTATAACGTTCCTTTATTGGATCATACTTTCAGAAGTCAAAAGAGTAAGGATGCATTTACAAATAGCCTTGAGCAAGGAGTTGACCTTTTTAATTAGAAGATATTATATTGTTATAATCATAAAATGGAGCGAAAAATATGACTTTTATGAGGCTATTTTCGTGCTGGCTAGAGTGGTTCACTTACAGCGCCATCTTGAGAAAAGGGACATAACTCTGAAAAACGTATATGTTTGCTGCAAAGCAGATACAGATGCAGTACGCTATTGTTTAATACTAAAAACGTTTGTACTAGTATCGTATCGCTCTTAACGTGAAGGTAAAACGGCTTGATCACTATGCAGGAATGGGTTTAAATGTGTGCCTTGCTAAACGATACCAGACGAACGTGAACGGGGGATCTTGAATTCGCCCTCCCGGGTATAAAAATGTCACCAGTCGGATATGCTGACCACAAACTACCCCTCCCCCCGCCGGTATCGATATGGCGATATGAGTCAGTCGCATTGAAATCGAGTACTCGCTACCATTGCAACACCGCTCTGCATTCCCTCATTGTCTGACATAAGCCTTGTCCAGGCGTCCTATGGCATAGACTGAGTACCCCCCCCCCCCCCCCCCACATAGACACACGCACATTTTTCTTTAATGAAGCTTGCGTTACTGTTAGGATGTCACTATGCTTAAACAGAATTTTGTGTGTGTACACATGAATGGAATTTTGGGCTTGATATATTAATCACTGAAGTCTTGTGTATTGTGTACACCTGCGTTGTGTGTGTGTGTTTGGATAAATCCTTGATATCCAACATAAAATGATAAGTGGATACCCTCTTTGAAGTCCTATTCCTACCTAAAATGCGCAATTTTAATTTGAGAAAAAAGTTTCGTTTCCACAGCTACGGCAGCCGTATTGGATTTTATTGACATGTCTTTCGTAATGAATACAGCACTTATTTTTCATGGAAATAAATTGGGTGGTTTTTTTGTGTGTTTTTTTTGCATGCATGTGAACAAACATTAGACCTTCAAATTTATCTGTTCAAATTTTCCAAACGAATTAAAAGATTTTTAATGACTTTTTTCGTGAGGTAGTATTCAAGTTTGAAAACAAAATGCATGAAAATCCACGCTCCAGACACCACCAACAAAAATTTATTCCATATATCAAAAACATTCAACGAACACATTTATTAGTATAACATCTTCTCTTCATTCTGTGAAAATGTCATGAAGATTGGATGAAAAATGGGGGAGTTATTTTTTTGAAAGGTATTATAGAAAAACGCGTTTTGAGAAAACGGGCAATAAAGAAAAATTAAAAATTCACTTTAAGAGGAAATGGCATGCCCGGTATGGGAAAAAATAAGGCTTTAGGGGGTTCTAATGCTATGAAATAGTTGTAGGAATGGATGAAGAAGCAAAGTATACCTATAATTCAAGATCCATAATTTTCAGCCGAATCGGGGATTAGGCGTAGCCCCCCTCCTTTTAAAAGTTCTACAGGCCGTATCCTCTTTGATTCAGTCAATAAGAAATAAATTATCTCGTAGATAAAGTGCTGATGAAGAACTTTGTTTTGTTATTAATTTTGTTTGTTTGTTTTAAAGCCTATCAATCTCAGTCTATTAATTAATGATACATTTATTTGTAGATCTAGTTGTAGCGTTGTTGCTTTCTAGTAATCTAGATTTACAGTACGCCACGGCGCCCATGTGTTCTGTTCTGAGAACTGAGAAGTGCGATGAAGAACATTTGATGATATAATGATCGGAAACTGTTGTGTGCTAACTTTGTCCAGTTTTTTATAGTATCAGATTGTAGACTTGATCTGCTTGGGACAGCGTCACTGGTACAGTATCAATTGACTTTTTGTCATCATACAAGACAGTTCTGATTACATATATTTAACGGATCCAGTGCTCGTCGATATTTTGTTTGGGGGTGTAGAAAGTACGAGTAAAGTATCGGAAGCCAGGACCTGCAGTTTATTGCCTCTCACTTTCAGGTTGTTGTTTTTTTTAGCCTAGTAGTGTTTCTTTTTCTGTGCCTATCAAGTCAGTATCTATTAATCTCAGTAACTTCCATCTTACGTTATTCATAATATTGATTCTTGACACTACTGCATATTTTAGCTCTTTCACATTATATTACAATGTTTACAGTGGTGTGTGTGTGAGTTGGGGAATCGGGTGGGGATTGCGAAAGTAGGGGTATAAAATAAGGAGAGAGAGAGAGAGAGAGAGAGAGAGAGAGAGAGAGAGAGAGAGAGAGTGAGTGTGTATGTGTGTGTGTGTGTGTGTGTGTGTGTGTGTGTGTGTGTGTGTGTGTGTGTTGTGAAGG